TTTTTGCCACGCACACTCGTCGCTTAGATCTGATAGTAGGGAGTAACTGACCGGCTAATCAGTCTCTCTGCTCATTTGACGTACCAGATTCTAGTTGAACCACGGTCTCTATCCCCCAGCTTAGTAGCACCTTCTCAACCAGTACTTATCTATCTGCTGTCATTCACATTAATCCCGTAGTTGCACGATGGACTCTTTAAATTGTAAATTCCCCCCTTGATTTTAAGGCAAATTCTAAACCGATGCTCAGTGGAAAAACGGGACTTACATCTTATCATCAATGCTGACTTGTAGCATCAGCATCCCAGTGTTTTGCATGTTTACCAAGCTGAGGCACACAAATAGCATCCTGGTCTGCCCACATAATATATCGGGAGCCTCGGCTAAGTCTTTTTTACTGGGTTAACCCACACAACTCCACCAAAACATGGGCTCCTTTGGTTTGCTTAATTCCTCAAGATTTCACAGTCAATGGGCTCATCTGATCTCACCCCATTCTCTTCTGTTTCCTAAGTTCTGCCTTTGGCGGTAGCAGGTCAAACCGCTTGCTTGTTCGTCGTCCATTTTTCCTGTTTACTGTTTTACGTCCACGTGGACGCCCAGATGGCTCAAAAAAAGTCCATCTTCACGCCACTCTCGCTTGAACGGTTATCCTCCTGTTTTGACGTAATTATTCTGTTGAGTCCACGCTAAATTGAAGCATTGGGCTCAAGTTTCACTCATACTGGAGCTCATCAGCACTGCATTTCCAAAGGCTATGCGAGATTTAAACTCAGAACATCTGACATGCAGGGTAAGCGTTTTACGACTAATCCACCAACGCTCTTTGGACGCATCTGAATTTTCACGCCTGAAAATGCGGACGTGTTCGTGCTTGAGCAATGTGGTTGGTGTGCCCGAAATGTCGAACGACGACCTAGTAAATCTCCTGGCCGTGACGCTCCACTGACTCTCAAGATTCAATAATAGCTTTGCATCTACGTCGACATAAACTCTACCAGGGTTAATTCCCTCGTCTAACGCAAATCCAGTTGCCGCGGAAATGCGCATCACCAGTCTATGATGAAGCATGCGTTTGTGCAGCCGTTGCTTTCCGGACGTGTCCTTTTACCTTCCAAAGTTCATGTAATGTCCCGTTTGGCTTTGGCCTCCTCGGCCTCCTCATGGCAATGGCGAAGACAAATCACGACTCACTATTTTCGAATTGTCAACAAGCTACGCTCACCTAAGAGGCTTCAATAAGCTTTCGAGATTCCATGGAATTACCGTGGGAAGTATTCGTTCTATTCTCCGAGAATAAGTACTAGTGCGTAGCGACCACCATCTGTGTCACGCGCAGCAGTTCGAATTCCGGTTGTGACATTTCCACATACTCAAACTTCTTGAATGTCGTAGGCGGCGCTTCTTCCCAATGGACTATCTCAATGAACGTTTAAAAATTATGTCGACTGGAGCAAATCTCATGTTCACAGTAACCTGCAGTTACTTTTGCGTTGGCCGGAGACCCAGAATCAAAACAGCATCCTCGGGGACGCTGGTCTTTGTTTCTAATTTTTAACTCCATTATTTTTATCGCAAAGCCTTCCTCCAATGTCTCTTCATATTGGCCGATTTTGACAGGATATGTCCCCGAGTGCCCTCCAGACTTTTATTTGCCAACCGCGTTTGAACTGCGATGAGCAAAATGACAACAGGGAAAACTAAAGTAAGGTCCTATTACAGTCAACAAAAATGTTAGTTTTACTGTTCACTAAGTTATCACGTTCAGGGTACAATAAATTTTGAGAAAACATACCACTTAGTGTTATTATTTTGGTTCCAAAATTTACAAAATATCAGTTTGGGTGAGCGTTTAGGATCCGCAGATTACTGGGAATTGAGTACTATATTTGAATGCCATATATTATTTTCAGCGATCGTTTGGGCCACAATGAGTCATGCGCGAATCTTCAAAAGTCAAATCGTTCAAATGGATGTCAGTCAACAAATGCGATACTACGAATGCAGTAACAAAATGAGAGAATTTAAAGACCCAAAGAACTGGGACCACTTTGGCTTCTGTACACCGGTTTAGGAACTCCTAAGTTCTAACGGGACCGCAAGGTTCGTACAGACTCAAGACATGGTGGCCACTGGACAGCTGCAACAAAATGTTGGTTTTTACAAAACTTGTGATGACAATTTCAACGAAAGTTTCTTGTTCACGTCAAAACAAGAAAGGCACTATGGACGCCGGACGGAAACAACTGAACGATAAATAACGTTGTACGCCATAAGAATAGAATAGAGAATCGTCACACGCCTCCCTCAAACTGCAGGCGGTCGTACAAACCTGTTTCCTTCGGCCCTACTTTTATGCTTGCGCCCGAAGATGCTGAG